AGGGGCTTGGTAGGCCAATACAGCTGGGCATCTGCACCTCAAACGAATAATAAATAACTGAATACAGTTTCTATAAACGCTGGATCTTACTGTCGCCATTTTGAATGAATTAGATGAATGAATGAATCAAGAATTGGTATCACTGCACTCGGTACATTTCTACAAGTGCTCTGTTTCCTTCCTCAGTAGCCAGCGAAAAGTCACCATGCTAGTGTCCAGTGGTGACCTGAAAAGTGCTGAGGATTTTCCAAAACTTATAAATATTGCTCCCTCTCTCCTCACCCCCCCCCCCCCCCCCTTTTTTTCATTTTTTTTCCCGTTTGTATTGGTCTTTTGATGTATGGGAAGAGGAGCGGCTGGCCGAACTGTTAGCACGCTGGGCTTTTATGTGTGAGACCCGGGTTCGAATCCTCTGTAAGACTGGAATTTTTCTGTCGGGGACCAAAAAAATCATCACCTGCACAGTTGTGGCGACAGCATAACCTCTGGCTGAAAAGAACCCCTGCGTACACTGCAGTCAAGGCAGTAATTGGCAGATGTATGGGGGCGTCAGAAACTATTTGGGGGGGGGGGTTGCCCCATGTCTGCACGGCCCTATGGGCATGTCTAGGGGCCGCGTTAGTGCAGTCGATAGGAAACTCGCTTTCAAATCCAGCTTCCCTTGGCTGGTGTTCGAAACCTTGCTGTTTCCAAGGTTCAACCAGCTTCTGGGAAATGGGTACCAGAGTTAACACTCTGCGATAAACAGAAGAGCGTCGCTGTAGCTACGGAGTTACGTGCGGACGGCGACACAGGGTGACAGTTTCTTATCAGCTGTCCGTTGTGGTGGCAAAGCACTTATGGTTTATAACCGTGTTCAATGACGCTGGTTCACATCTCCCGACTTTACCTTTTACTTGTCATAAATTTGGTTACCTGGTACCCGTTTAAGGCTGGGTCGGCCTGAAATTCAAAGTCATTTTGTAATAATGTTCCAAATCTGTCATGACTGTAACTCATTACGTTCTGATCCGCATGCGGGAGTTTACCGGCAACACCAGGGTGCCTCCTAGCTGCAACCAACTGTCGGTGTTCGAAACCAGGGTTCACCCAGCCTCTAGGAAATGGGTACCAGAGTTGACACTCTGTGGTAAATGGCGGAACGTCGCTGTAGCTACAGAGTTACGTGCGAACGGCGACACAGGTGGACAGTTTCTTATCAGCTGTCCGTACTGGTGGAAGAGCACTTATGGTTTATAACCGTGTGCAGTGACGATTGTTCACATCTCCCGACTTTACTTTTTGTTTACCCATTAAATAAAGCATAACAAAAAAAAAACTGGGAGTGGGGGGGGGGTGGGGGCTGCGTGGTCTCGAGACGGAGTGCTAGAGGTCCCGGGTTCAAGCCCTAATGAAAGCTGGGATTTTTTCACGAGGACTTCAAGTAATTTTCCCTGGTCTTTGGGTAGTAAGATCGCCCATGTGTATTGTTGTGCATGTAATAAAAATATCTTGGTAGTTGGAAATCGAAAAGAGTAGGCTAACGTCAAAATTTGAAGATTAAAATCTGCCAAAAGGATTTCAGGATCCTCGCCGGTGCTACAGAGTTCGTGCACTGCTCTGATATTCTTAGGACTCAGGCTTGAGTTAGACGAGGAACTGAGCACTTATGAGTTACACCCGTATGCCATCATGATGATCCATTGTATTAAGATAAACATAAAAATCAAAAGTCGGTCACTGGGAAAAATAACTATAACACCAGAGAAGATTACGAAGAAGGAAGCGGTCTTCTTCGTTGTCGAACTCAGGAGCCACAAATGTAGGGGGAAGTTTTGTCCTGACTCATGTTTCTTGGAAATATGTCCCGGACCTAGTGAATAAAGATAGTCAACTGCGGTAAAATCTGTTTGTTTTGCGCCTGTCAAAAGGTCGAGTTATTCCTGTCCGTTTTATTTGCGGTTGTAAAAGCTACATTGTTCCCGCTTAAAGTCATGTAAAATGTCTTAGGGGTTTTTCTTTTCCGGAACAAATTTTAAAGGTGCAAGCTAATTTCAGTGTAAGAAACATAATTTATAAGTGTCAAAAAGTAGCATTAACTTCCTGTAAATATGTAACACCTGCGTGTCGCTTTTTAGGTATTTGTACATGCTTCGATTTTTCTCAGTTAAATTTATGCAAAATGTGTTAAGACTCTTCATTCCTCGAACAAACTACAATAGATCAACATAGTTTCACTGTAAACTGGGTTGTTTCGGGTTTTTCGAAAAAACGTCACTGTTATTATGAAGATAGTAAATCAGGTAAATGTACGTTTTAAATTGCTTAAAATCATGTAAACTTTGTTATGGATTTTTATACGTTTCGCTGTTGATGCAAAAGGGAAAAATTAGAATAATTTTAAAACGTAAAACCTTTCCATTTTACTAAAGATTGTATAAATATTGTATCTGCCAAAAGAAAGGTACAATTTCTTAGGCATTCCAATCATACCAAACTGCAAAGGTGCGAGCTGATTTTTTTGTACATTTCTTTGCTTCTATTGCCTAAAACAAAAGGAAAAAATACTGCAATTCAAAAACAAAAACAAAAGAAACGTTTGTCAGTTTTAATTAAGTGTGTGATTGCCCAGTTTCTCCCGCTCACATCCAACTAAAATGTGTTAAGGAGTTTCTTTTCCGGAACAAATTGTGAAGGTAACGGAATTGTGATATTTCGTTGAATGTATTCCAATGACTTGAAATTATTGTTTAAACACGAAATAATCTGTTTGGGGGTATGTAAATGATACATTTTTTGTATGCCCCACGTGAAGTCGTGTAAAAGAGTCTTTTCCGGAACAAACTGGGAAAGAGTAGGATAATATAGATTATATTAGTTATTTTAGAGTAGTCTACTGTGGTGTGAAACAAGTGGAACAGTTTAATTGAAAGACGTAAAGAAAGGCTGTCTATTTAAATGAGTTAGCGATATCTTTGTTTTCCCCGCCTAAAGTAAAGTAAATTTTGTTATGAGCTTTTTTTTTCGGGAACACAGAGTAACGAAACAATATAATTAATTTAAATGTAAATTTCGACCTTCACGATTTTTAAGGACATAAAAGTCAGTTAAAGTAATTAAGACACTTTGAAACAAAAATGCCAAGTATGACTAGACCATATTTACGTATTTTCAGTGTGAATAAAGATAGGTTCTGCAGCATTATAAATGCCATTTTTACACTCATGCATGTGTATTGTGTTCATAACTGGGGCACAGCCACTAAGAAATAATTAAAATCAATTGTGAAATATTAAGGCCTGACCTAACGTTAGAATGAAATATGAAAAAGTAATGTACATAAGGTAAAAAGTAATTCTTTTTTCTTCATCCAAATCCCCACTGGAGCATAGGCCCTCAACCAACTTATATCAAGTCATTCTATCCTTCGCTATCGCATGCACAAACTTCCCCATCTGTTTGACTTCACTCTCTAGCTCTCTTTTCCGTGTGAGTTTTTGGTTTTCCTTTATTTCTATGCCTCTGTGGTCAGGTACAAAGACATAGTTATAATGTACTCAGGTTTGCTCAAAGTTATGTCCTCTTCAACGCCAGCGTTTTTTTCCTCACCTCTTGGCCCACTGAAACTTATTTAGTTCTCCCCCAAAGCTATACACTAGTTATTCTATCATGAAATTTTCCTGTATTCTGCACGGGCACCAGTTAATAAATGTTTGTAGTTTATTAAAAACTGCCTTAGGTGTTCTCCTATTTCCCCGCCATACAAGAGTTCTTATTTGACAATGAATTTAAACAATTTAGGTTTACTAACAAGTGATTACTTTGCTTTAAATTCAACGACATTTTCCAGAGGAAAACAGAAACTAACTCACAAATAGAAATGATTATCCACTGCGTAAGGGGACGGTCTATATTCTTTGTCCATCCTCGAACCCATTACTTAGCAGATCGTTCTCAGATAGTCGCTCTCGTCATGCACCCCCGAAAGTCTCTCTGTCTTTTGTCATTTCTCTAGCCCTGTGTGCTTTCACAACCAATTTATCTTCAATGTTTTTAGTGCACCTTCTTTGTGGTCTGCCTCTGCCTTGTTGTCCGGAAACTACCCTTCATCCCCGTCTCTCTAGACCAGTGGTTCTCAAACTTCCTAATGCCCCTACCCCTTAATACAGCTTCTCATGTTGTGGTGCCCCCCAACCATACAATTATTTTTTGTTGCTACTTCATAACGTCAGTTAATATGTGCTTTCAGGTAGTCTAATGCCACCCCTGTGAAATAGTCGTCCGACTCCCAAAGGGGTCGCGATCCACAGGTTGAGAACCCCTGCTCTAGACCGAAAAAGTGCACATAATAGCCAAAATGCTTCAGCTTTCGGTGCAGGAAGAGCCCTTCCCAAGAAGGGAAAAGCTGGAAACGAAATAATTGGAGGGAGAGATATGCAGGAGACCAAGGAGACCAATGCGGAAGATTTTGGTACAAGAGACAAAAGGCCCTGTATTGGCCCCTTGTGACATAAATCAATCAAATGCAATCTTCCCTGTGAAAGTTGGCTGCAACGGATCTCAAGGAGACTCTCTTGTCCTGATTGTCCACTCTCTCAGACTGCTGTTCGTCCATCTTATGATGTTCGCCTCGCAATTATACCGTTGTCTACCTTTTCCTCTCGACCTTTCATAATACTAAAATACGCTGTTGGCAGAACCGGACTTTTTTTCAAAAATGACCTTGACTCCCAGGTCGACCCAGCTTTGAGTGGGTACCGGGTGCAGTCCCGGGAAGTAAAGGCGGGCGGCGTGATGCTGACTACATCACTCATCTTGTGCCGATTGGTCTATAAAAATATAGGTCTAGCCCTATACGCTTTATACGCCTACAGGGCGTGGAAAAGGAACCTTTTTTCACATTGTATTTGACATCATACATGGAAATGTGTACTCTGCTATTGAATGCCTTATTTTGACTTCATGCAGGAAAAACATGCAAGCTAGTGTTTAGCCCTGCTATAGTTCAGATAGCTGTCCCCATGGAGGTGAGGATACAGTTGGAAGACAGCGGATCTACAGATAGTGTGAGTAGAACTATGAGTCATGTCTTTGTGTACACCTTATGCACGTCATTAGGAGAAAAAAAGGGCGGGGGAAGGGATGGTGCAGTTTTAAAATATTCTCCGGGTCCTGGTCCCATTAGGATGAAAAGTAATTATAATTATCATTAATATTATTGCGGCGGGGGGACTCGAAATACCGGTGCAGTTCATTAAACCCAGCCTAAAATTTCTCCCTGGGGAAGTCCTTTTTTTTAATGTCCATTTAATGTGCATCATAAAACTGTGTGTGTGTGTGTGTGTGTGTGTGTGTGTGTGTGTGTGTGTGTGTGTGTGTGTGTGTGCTGGCGCGCGTGTAGGACGATTCTCTACAACAAAATATGCCGGTATGACATTAAAGTGTGTAAACAAATTGCTATTACCCACTGCAAAATGTCAATTACAGCACAGCTGGAAAATAAATTATGTCAGTTATGCCTAGAAAAAGTACCATTACAGCAAACTTTGGGAGTCGCCGTGGCAGAGCGGCTAGAAGCGCACCGCGAATCGAAGGTCGTGGGTTCGCTCCCTGACGAAGCCGGACTTTTCTTAAAAAATGACCTTGGCTCCCAGGTCGACCCAGCCTTGAGTGAGTACTAGGTAAAATCCTGGGAATTAGGGGCGGCCGGCGTGATGCTGACCTCATCATCCATAATGTGCCGTTGGTCTTTATAATATAGGTCTAGCCCTATATGCCCTATACGCCTAAAGGTGTGGAAAAGGTTCTTTTACTTACTTTACATACTGCATACTGTTGCGTACTGGCAGGAAAAGACCTCTCTTATCTCTCTCATCTCTCTCTCTCTTTCTCCATCTCTCTCTCTCTCTCTCTCTCTCTCTCTCTCTCTCTCTCTCTCTCTCTCTCTCTCTCTCATGTGCATATTTCCGTTTTTCTAAGCGATTGTGTTATATTGTACTAAGTGCAATCATAGAAATCACAGTCTATAGCGAAGGTAAACGTGAAAAGTACCACAATTAGTGCGTAGGATTTCAGGACCGTTATCTCCCTCACAAGTTTTTGACAGACTTTCTTTTCAGACGCTCAGTTATTAGCATATCTACAGTTATTTTCTCCTGCATCTATAATCCCTTGCTTCCTAATGCCGCGATCACAGTTGCTGGCCTTGCGTTGGTTTCGACAGTGATTTAAAGAAAGCCGACCATCCAGAAAGCAATGGCAAACTACTGGATGTTGGGGTTGGTTCTGCAACGTCCTGTAAAGGCTACGCAACTAACCTATAGTCCCTTCCAAATTTTCAACATTATCGCATTTGACATGTCTATTTTGTAAGCATAATTTTATGTTGGAATTATGTGGATGACGATTCATTTATAGAAAAATTACCGTTCTTCTGGTGTTCGTCTTGAGGTAAAAGAGTCTCACCGTGGAAGAGATTGACACCTTACCACTATATAATCACAAAAACAGCAGTGGTGCTCTATAGCCAACATTCCCTGTGGAGACAGCACAAAATATTTTCTCTTTCTTCGTTTTTCTCTGCTGTAAACTCCGGCGGAAAGTTCTGGTTGTTTGTCCACTTCTGAACTTTGGTCTTCTTCCAAAACCTGATTGTTGGAGGCACATACATTTAACAGATCTGACTCAACTGTATACCGATTCTTGGTCTTAGACAGATGCAATCCGACTTCGAAGGGAGCCGCCTCCCCCCCCCCCACCCCCACCCGTTCCCTTTTACTCGACTCCACATGCTAATTAGTGAGGCAGTGGGTCTATTCTTGTCCCCCCCCCCCCTCCCCCACAATAGGGGTCACACAGGAACATAATGTTATGTATTGTTGTTATAGGATGTACATTTGTGCCTGTATTGTGTCATGATGACCGCCCGGAAAGTACGGTTCACCGATTTCGTCAGGTTTTCATTTTCTGCACGTACAAGTCGACAAAACATGCTTCCTATTGTATTTTCTGTTTGTGTGACTGGCAAGGGATGGAGGGGTATAGGTGTGTGGGGTGTGTAGAAAAGTGGGGTGGCGCCTCAGTAAAATAATGGAAAGGGGGGGGGGTTTAAAGTGTCTGAGCCAGCAGGCCCTCTCATGTAACAGGGTTCATGAGAGAGAGAGAGAGAGAGAGAGAGAGAGAGAGAGAGAGAGAGATATTCTAAGTGTTTAACTCAGTATTTTCAGCTTGGCCCGTCATCTGCGTGCCATTTAAAATCCTTCCACGAGCCAAACTGTGCACGCGGGTCTTTACTTGCCACGGTTTTTCTTCTTTAGATGTCTATTTTTTTTTTTTTTTTGTTACTGTTATGTCCATTGACTGCGCATCATACAACAAGACGTGTGTGTGTGTAAGCGTATGTGTGTGCGCGTGCAGGGCGTTCTTCTAGAATAAAAGGTATCAATACTTGTCTAAACACGTTGCTAGTACTCACCGCAAAGGGTTTATTTTAGCCAAGCTGAAGAATAAATGATGCATAGAAAAGGTACCAACACTGCATACTGTCGCGTAGTAGCTACCCCCCCC